CTACTACCACTAGTACTACAACGAGCAGCAGTAGTACCACAAGTAGCAGTACAACCAGTAGTAGCAGTACCTCAAGCAGTACTACAACGAGCAGTAGTAGTACTTCAAGTAGCACCACAACCACGACCACCACTAGCAGTACCACTACAAGCAGCAGCAGCACCTCAAGTAGCACTACAACAAGTAGCAGTAGTACCACTAGCAGTACTACAACGAGCAGTAGCAGTACCACAAGTAGTACTACCACTACCACAAGCAGTACCTCAAGTAGCACCACTATCACCACCAGTAGTACCACAAGTAGTACTACTACAACGACTATCACTAGCAGTACCACTACAAGTAGCAGTACTACAATTAGTACTACCACTACTACTAGTAGTACCTCAAGTAGCACGGCATCCATCACAACTTCTCAAACATCAAATATCAATGAAAGTAATAATATAAAAATATAAAAAATAGTTGATATATGTTTCTTTTCTAAACTAGCTTGTTATTCACCGACAATTATATTGATTCCTGGACAATCATCTCTATCATCTCCAATGTCGTATCGACGTAGTCAAGATTTTTCTATTAGTTCAATGATTCAATTTAATTGTGATGGTTCACTTTCAACAACTAAAAAATGGGCAATAAAGAATTGTACTTCAATTAGTTGTTCATTTGAGATTCTATTAAATGAAAAAGTTATGACAACATTTAGTGAACTTTATATTCCATCAAGAACTCTTGCTTATGGTGTTTATCAACTAACATTAACTGTAATAATGATTGATTCACCGAATTTAAAATCATCATCTTCAGTTTATGTGAGAATAACTGCAACAGGTATAACAGCAAATCTTGTTCAATTAGGAACATCTATGGTAACACGAGGTGATCAACAGGATCTTTTACTTGATCCTGGAACATTTTCAGTTGATCCTGACAAAGATACATTTGATGCAACTGTAAGTGTAAATATCTGTAGGTGAATATTTAAATAACTGTTATTTTATTCGTAATCATAGAAATGGAAATATACATATTATTGTCGAATTTATGGTTTATATAATTTTCCAAATATACAAGGAATATTATTATCAATTGATGATTCAACGATTGATCCTTATAATCCATCATGTTTGTCAAATCGATCAGGTAAAATTGTTAATGACAATCTAATTCAATCATTTTTATTACTTTTTATAAAGGAAATGGAACAAGATTGATATTCGGAAATTCAACTTTATCACCTAATTCATCTCTAATAGTTCTCGGTGGTTCACTTCAAGCAAATCAAATCTATCAATTTATGGTCTATATGGAGAATCGTAAGAATTCTTCTATTCAAGCGACAGGTTACGTATTTGTTACAGTTGAAGTTACTCATCCACAACTGATTGCTGTTGGGTAAACTATTTATGAGTTTTTAATTGAATTATTGTAAATGATAAAATATTTATTTTAGTTGTGTAATATCAACAATGTGTGTTCCAAATCTTGAATTTCAACTTCTTAATCCAACAACACAAGTTGCTCTATTTACTATTTGTATTGGAACTTGTACAAATCTTCAAAGTATTAAATGGAATATTTATCAGGGATCACACAATTCGACATCTTCAAATTATACACAATGGACTTTATTTAATCAAACAAGTTCATATGAAAATATTTGGTTTTTTGGTAAAAATCTTCTTTCAATTATTAGATATATTTACTGTTTATTTTAGGTACAAATACAAGTAATTTCACAGCAATAGATCAATTATTTCTTAATAATCTTCAAATAAGTCTTTGGCGTTTTGAAGTTGTTTATACATTTCTATCTGCAATAAGTACAAGTGCATTGAATTTTATTATTAATCAATCACCTTCAAATGGTTCGTGTTCAATCAATCCTCGTAATGATACTACAACTACTTTATTCACTATTGAGTGTCCAGATTGGTTTGATCTAGATGGAATACAAGATTATTCATTATACGGTATGTTTTATTTTCACTACCAACTGACTTTTGCATATCTTGTAATTTTAGCATGGACCACAGACATATCACAACGAACAATAATTGCATTTTCACCAGAAGATAATTTTCAAGTTCGATTACCAGCTGGTGATAATGAAACTTCATTACTCAATCTTGTTATTTATGTTCGAGATATTGTGGGTTCTGTTACACAAGTGAATATATCTTCTGTTAATGTTATTACAGATCTCATAGTAATCAATGATTTAATTGATAAAATAACAAATTCATCGAGTACAATAACAAATAATGCAATTGTTCGATTACTTTCAAGTGGAAATCAGAATGTTGTTGGACAAATGATCATTTCATTATCACAAGAACTCAATCAAATGAGTAGTGAAAATTTAGATAAAGCTATATCAAGTAAATATTCATATTCAATTTATGAGAAATTCTTAAAATAAGTTTTATTTTAGATGGAATACCAGCTGTAGATATTTCAGTATCAGCATTAGGAAGTCAAAGTTTACAACAAGTAATTGAATTTAATAGATTTTTTTCGATTCTTTTTCTTTTTTAAAATAGGTTTCAATACCATTGAATGAATCAGCTTTGATTAATTATAATATACAATTAAATTCTCTAGCAAATGTTCGAGATTATCTAGTAACATTTATAACTAATCTTCTCATAACAACATCAAATAGTATTATATTACAATCATCATCATTAGTTCAACTAACTCAAGCAACAAATCAATTAACAAGAAATACTTTAGTAAAATTATAAAGAATATTTCTTTTGAAGATTTTTATATTTTTGAATATTTTTAGATCCTTGTATCAAATAGATGTTATGAATTATCTGCTGCTCTATATGCAATATTTGAAAAAATCTCATATGAAGATGCTCAATCAGCATCAAATCAACTTTTTCAATGTGCTTCAAATATTTTAAATGTAAAATATATAAAATCAGTATTCTCACTTCTCTATCAAACTCTTGAGGCTGTGGGTGTGGACGATGATACGGGATGAAATCAGCATCCACACCCACACCCACACCCTTCAATAATTTTGACATAAAAAGAATTTTTTTTCTTTAATTATCGATTTTGCTAATTGTAGGGTGTGAATGGGCCATTACAAGGACGAACAGAGGTGCTTGATTTAGATAGTTCTCGTGCAAATGTCATATCTACTGATTATGATACTGATCTTGAATCTGCATGGTCAAATTTAAGTAAGATCTTTTAAATGATAAATCATTATCGAATTTGAATTTGTTTTTTTGAAGATTTATTTTCTGATGGAAATGATTTTTCTACTGCAACAATTGAAAAAAATCGAAATATTTATTATCAAAAACAATTAGCAAATGAAATCAATAGTCAAGTAACAGAAATGATATCATTATTAACTTCTTCATTAAATATTCATTTAAATATTGGTCAAAGTTCACTAATGAATACATCTCAATCATTTGTATCATTAGAAACTATATCAATTCAATCACTCAAAGATAGACTTGCGAAACAAGTTGAAAATGCTCAATTTAATATTCCATCCGATTTTATTTTGAACACAACGTCTAATTCTTCAATTTCACTTCGAGTAATTCTCTACAATTTGAATCATTATTATTAAATCATTTTTTTTGTTTTATTCAGTCAAAAATAGATCCACTTGCTTCATTTGGAAATTTTCAAAATACAAATCTTTCAAGATCAATTTCACTTTCAATTATTGATCAAAATGGAAATGAAGTTTCTTTTGAAGCCCATCAAAATAATCCAATACAATTGATTATTCCTCGTGATCCAAATGTATTAATTCCATCGATGTATTTACAAAATGTTACATCAATTAATTCAACTATTAATAATTTATTATTCAATTATCATTATATTAATATAACAAGTTCTCTCCCGATTTCAGTCCATTTTGAAATTCATTCTTTAAATAGAAGTCTGGCTTATTTATTTATTTATAAATTTGATCAAACACCACAATTAAATAGTTCGATTAATATTATTGATGGATGGACAATTTTTTGTCCTTTCAGTATGTTTTCTTTTCTTGAACATTCATATAGATTTCGTTTTGTAATTATAGATTTAACCAATGACGATATATATCGATATTTTATTGATAATCAACAAACACCTGGACATCAATCATTAATATTTGGAATAAGAGAATTAAATTCAACTGAAATTAATAATTATTGTTTAAATAGTTCTTCAATAAATACGTCGTTACCAATCACTGATGAACCATTTGGTTTTACATCGAATTATGAACTTCGTATATATACATCAGGTTGTTATTATCTTGATGAAAGTAACAATTGGAAATCAGATGGATTAACAGTTGGTCCTTTGACAAATCTGTATAAAACAGAATGTCTTTCAACTCATTTAACAACATTTGCTGGTGGTTTTATTGTTTTACCTGCACCAATTAATTGGAGTTATGTTTTTGCAAATGCTGATTTTATGAAAAATAAAACAGTTTATATAACAATGATAATTACTTCGATACTTTATATTGTATTATTGATTTATGCACGTTTTAAAGATAAGAAAGATTTTGAAAAAGTAAACTAAAAACATCATTTTATATATTTTATAAAATAAAAATTTCTGACTTGTTTTTAGTTGGGAGTAACACCATTAGCTGATAATAATAAATCGGATCATTATTATTATCAAATTCTTGTTTTTACTGGTCAAAGAACAAATGCTGGAACCGATTCAAAAGTAAGATAGTACAAAGAAAATATTTTAACGAAACTTTTTTTCTTTCTGGAAGGTTTATTTTGTTTTATCGGGTGAAAATGATCAAACACATATTCGATTATTTTCTGATCCTCATCGAAAGATTTTTCAACGTGGTGGAATTAATTCTTTTATTATTGCTGTTCCAAAGTAAAACTATTATTTTTTTTAGAGATTTTATAAAATATTAATATTTAGATCATTGGGATTATTGAATTATATTCGTATTTGGCATGATAATTCGGGTGAAGGTTCTTCAGCATCATGGTTTTTAAAATACATTGTTGTTCGAGATTTACAAACTCTAGATAAGTCTTATTTTATTTCTCAACGATGGTTTGCAGTTGAAAAAGATGATGGACGAGTAAGTCGTGTAATAGAAAATATACTATTTCTTAGTTTTGTCTTCAATTTAGATTGAAAGAACTTTACCAATTGCTAGTGAAGCAGAAAAGCAAGAATTTTCATATGTATTATCAAAAAAAGCTTATCATAGTATTTCCGATGGTCATTTATGGTTTTCAATATTTTCTCGTCCACCATCAAATAAATTTACACGTGTTCAACGATGTACTTGTTGTTTTGTTTTATTTTTCACTTCAATGTTAATCAATATAATGTATTATGATTTATCAAATGAAGCGAACGCATCAAGTGAAACACATAGTGGCGCTTTATCAATTGGTCCTTTTTATATAGCACCACAACAG